TGGTGTTTGGGGTGGTGTGGGGGTGGTGTTTGGTTGGTGTTTGGGGTGGTGTTGGGGTGGTGTTGGGGGTGGTGTAGGGGGTGGTGTTGGGGTGGTGTTTGGGTGGTATTCAATGTGGTGGTGGTGGAGGTGGTGTTGCAGGTGGTGCTGGGAGTGGTGTTCGGTCTTTGGATTATGAGGGTCTGGGGCTGGCTCAGGTGGGGCATGTACTATGTTCACACACACAGATGGCAAGTGAAGAGTGGGGTCATGAGAAGTGTCCTGATGACCACAACTCCCATTTACTGAGCACTTGCTCTCTGCCAGGCACGGGGCTCTAAGCCCTGACACATGGCATTCCAGCACTCTGGAGAATCCTCACTGTAGCCCACAAGGAGGGCTCTCCTAGGACTCCTGCTGAACAGAGCCAAGTGGGAGGTGAAGGGGTTGCCAGGGTCGTGGAGCTGGGGAGGGCTGGGCCTTAGATTCGAAGCAGGCAGCCTGACCCCTGCACTGGGCTCCAGTGGGCTGTAGGCATGAGTGTTCGTGTGCACACGTGTTCATGTGTGAGTGTGAAAACACAAGTAACAGACAGCCCAAATAACTAGCTTCAACACAGCAGACATTTATTTCCCTCCCAGGTAAGGGCACCCCGAGGTAGGCAGTGCCTTCTGTCAGCAGCAAGCCAGGCCCCTCTCATCACGCTGCCCTGCCGTGCTCAGTGCTGCCTCATGGTGCAAAGTGGTTGCTGAGCTCCAGTCACCACTTCAGCCAGCAGGAAGGAGGAAGGGGAAGGAGAAAGACGTGACCTCACCATCTAGGGCATTTACCTTCCGACCCCCAGCTAGGCATTGTGGGTTTCCTTACTAAGGAAAAGGAGAGAACAGTTAGCGGAGGCCTCCCACTGCCCGCCGGGATGAGCTCGGCAGGCAGGACAGGACTCTGGGCTTCCCGGTTCATCGAGTGGTGTTCGTTGAGTCCCGGTTCGTGGAGTGTTGAACTGGTGGGGATTAGGGGTTCTTTAAGTCTCACTGTACTTCTCAGAAGGGGAAACTGATACCCAAGTCAGTGGCTGAGCTGTAGCCCAGGCTGGGCCTCTGCCTGCTGTCCCAGAGCTCTGTCCTGGCACCAGCTGCTGGTGAAGCCAGGACTTGGAGCAGTCACCAGCCCTGCCAGAGGACCCTGGGGACCCCCCCCATAATGAGCCGCCCACCTTCCCGGCTCTGCTACCCAGTCCTGCTGCTTCTGCAGGAAGCTGAAGGCCCATTTTGCCCCCTCCCTAGCACAGGGTAGCCTGTCTGACACCCCCAGACTCCTCCATGACACCCACCAGGCTGAGGGCCTGGGGACTGGAGTCTAGAGGGCAGGCAAGGATGAGGCTGGAAAAATTTCATCTCATCTACTCCTCTCCTTTCATCAATTCCACTCCTCCACTGCTCTAGCCTGCTCCAGCCTCTGCTAGAGCAGAGACAGGTATTCCCAGCCTCAGGTGCTGTCCTAAGCCCAGTAGGTACTGACCCTTGATGGTCACTTCAAGGTGACAGGCACCCACCCAGCATCCGGCCCTTCCCCATCCAAGGCTGCAAGGTAACTTTCCAAGCCAGGGTCTCCCATGGCGGTGCTCATGCCATAGCCAGACAGGCTCCGCTGGCCCCATCCTCTCCATACTTGGTGCCTGTCCCCCCAGCCCCGCACTGCCCCTCCGCGTGTGGCCTCACCCCGACCCGCCTCCCTGTGCCCTCTCATCCTCAGCCCGCCTCCCCTACTATCCTGCCTCCCCCAGGCCCGTCTTTCCTAGGGGTGACTATAGCCTCCCTCCAAGGCCTCTTCCCTCCAGACAGCCGGGAGGCTGACCTGGGGAAAGGCAGGGCGGGCCGGTGTGACCGCTGCAGATGGAGGAATTCCTGTGGCAGAAGTTAAGGGTGAGGATTGGGTGTGGGGGCCCCCAGGCATGTGGTGGGTATCATCTCTGCCTGGCTGTGCTGGTGGGGATCCCCAACCCCCATGAGGGTTGCAGGCCCTGGGGCGTGGTGGCCAAGGTCTGGACCCAGCGCCCACGTGCTGCAGTCCTGCCACTCACAGGTGGTGGGGTGAGGAAACCAAGGGCAAAGCCGGGAACTGAGGAAGCAACCGGGCCGGCGGGGCTGTGCTGGCTGGATCGCCCAAGACACTCCAAATTCATTCTCCAAAGCTGGTGCAGGGGCAGGAGGGGAAGGTACCAGACAGAGTGCTGGCAGGGCGAGGGGTGAGTTGGGTGGGGGTGGGGAGGGGCCGTGGGTCAGGGTCTCCCGGCCCCCATTGCTCCAAGGCCAGCGAGGAGGTTGAGCAGGAGGGCTGTGCCTGCAGTTTCGCAGCTGCCCCGGGGGCCGCCTGCCCCCTTGCCTGGTGGGTCCTGGACTCGGGAGCTCTGCCAGGGTGGGACATTGCACAGGTTGAACTGGCAGCAGGTTGTGGTCACCTGGGTCCCCTCGACCGTCTTGGTGATGGGCTGGCAGTTGTCTGTACACCATGCAGAGTGGGTGGTCAGGAGGCCTGACTCTGGGGAGGGGAGTGGGGAACAGAGGCTGAGGATGGGCGGGGCCTCCGAGGTGGCTCTACAGGGCTCTGTTCAGGGCCCCTGGCTTTCCCGCCACCTGAGGGTGCGTGTGCTGCGTGTGCTGCGGCCCCACGCCCACTTACCGGTGTTCCCGTGGGCAATGAGGGTTGTGCAGGCCTGGCCATGTGAGCAGCTCCGCGTCAGGTTGCAGTGCTCGTCCCTGGACAGGGACTGGCAGGTATAGCACCACAGCAGCACTGTGGACAAGGTGGGCTCAGGCCCAGGCCGGGTCCATGTCCCTATCCACCTCCCCATTCTCAGTTGTGCTCCCAAAGCCTAGCCTGGTGAGCCTCCAGCACCCACTGCTCAGACGGGCGGGCCACCCCTGACTCGGCCCTGTAAGCCATGCTGTGTGCGTGAGCCTGTGTGTTTAGGGGCAAGGGATTGCGGCCCAGGCAGGGCGAACTTCCCATCGTCGCTCACCTCCTGTGACAGTGCTGCCCAGGCTCCTGCTGTGGGCATGGAAACCTGGAGGCAAGTCTGACTCAGTCCTGCCTCTGGGAGCCTGGCACCTTCATCTCGCGCGACGCTCTATGGCTCCAAAGCCGACTCCTCGAGCGCCCACTCTGGAGCTGCCTGATTAAGTGGGATGAAGGGCATTTGCCCGTGGCTGCCAGTCCCCCACCAGCCTCAGCCTCAAACAAGGCCTCCATGCGGGTCCCAGCCTTCAGGCGCCAGGGCCAGGACTGTTGTTTCCCTTTCCAGGACCTGCTGGGGCTGGAGCGGGAAGGAGAGAGTCATTTTGGTGCGTTTGGCCTTGGAGCCGTTCCCGGCTGCAACCTGCTGCCAGCGGTTGGCAAGCGCGGCCCAAGGACTGCCTTGGCCCTGGGCCTGCCCTTGCTGCTCAGTGCCTACAGCCCTGTTAGTGCGAGGGCAGGGAGCTTGCCTGGGCCCCGGATTGGGCCATGCATGACCCCCCCGTGAACCCCATGTCTGGCGCCGTCCATAGTCACAGGAGCTTTGCGGCGTCACGCCGCCTTCCTAATTGTCGATCACTGGCCAAGCCTGCTTTCATTCCAGAGTCAGTCTTCGACATGCAGGCCCCTTAAGTTGTTTTGGGGGCATAAATAAAAACACAGTTCAGTGCCTCAAGGTAAGGCTGTGGCCCTCACCTCCTCCGTCACCCACAACTCATCGCAGTTGTACTTGCCT